AAATGTCGATTCTAAATCAACTTAAATATATTTTAACTACCCAAAAAAGAAAACTAAATTGTTACAAATTATAATTCACAAAATTTAACATAATTGGCCCCGACACATTGAAACTCCAGTACCAGGTCCAGTTTCCTCCAGAATCGGAGTATATCTGGATCACAGAGCAGGTATTCTGTCTTTTTACAGCATTTCTGGAACAATGACTCTCCTCCACAGAGTCCAGACCGGATTCATTCAGCCGCTACATGCTGGAGTTGGAGTTTATAATGATGGAGTCTCTGTTGAGTTCAGTAAACCTAAATAGGCAGCAACGATTTGATCCAGCTGGTTAGAATGTGTATTTTACGTTCAGTTTCTTTGTCATTTCTTCATTGCTCAGAGATTAGAGGGCTGCTTCACATATGTTGAGCCAGGTTTAAGTAATTCAGGTGATTACACGTCCTCAGATGTCTTCAGTAGACCAATGAGATCAATCATCGATTCACTGACACTATGCTACATAAATTGCATGAGCCATGTGTCTCAAACAAACATCTTTTGATGAAGGATTATGAGGAATTGAAGCACATCATACTAAAGAAAAAAAACTGCTGCTACAATGATAGTGGACTTATTGAATGCGTAATTAGCTTAAAATAGACATCTTCAAACCATTCTTAATTAAGAAAAGGTTACAAACATACCTGTCATTTACTCAAATAAACAACTTTAACCACATAAATGAACAGTGGAAGTCAATATTATGTTGACATGCTATAAGACAGAATCATTCGTCTTTCTCTTGTTTTTCCACATTTCATTGCTGTTTAAATAGTACAGAGCAAACAGAAAAACAGGTCAAGATTAAATGTAGAACATTTGCAGCCTCTGGGTAGTATAAAATTTTGACTACTATATGTGAATCACTTATACTAATAATTTAAAGGCTCTTGCCTAAATCAACTTTAGTTAGCTTTACTTGTGCTAAACTTATTTTTTGAATTGTGATGCTTTCGTTTTGAACAGGCAATTTCTTGTTTAACTGTCTGATCTCCTGAGGAAGATAATTGGTTTGAGAGGATCCAAGATGTCGTAATGTTTGGGGCCATAAGTTTCACAAACCATGATATTGTTTGCAAAGATGTTCTCCACCAACAAGGATAATCCCACTGCTGAGATTTTCAAATGAGCTGTTAAATGTATTCACTCAGATGAATAATATTAACACTGGTTACAGTCAGTGTAAATGGTGGGAGCTAAGATGCATGAAAAACAAATGGAACATTAAATATGGTTAAACGGAGGCCAATTTCAGTCTGAATTAAAATATTTCAAAAGCTCAACATGAAGTGACGAATTTAACTGCAAGTTGAAGCCTAAAGAAATCCCTCCCAAGCAGAAAACTGCTGCGAAGCTCCCTTTTATTAAACAGAGTTCAGCTCTGCTGCTTCATTTCTGGTTTTCCCGTTTAACTCATCTGAAAGCTTTAGTATCAATAGGATCCTTGAGCTCAGAACACAAGCTGCTGTAGAGCAGCAACAAGTTGGTGTTTGTCTCTTGTGAGACATATCTACTGGAGGAAAAGAAACTTCAGACATTCAGTGTTGTTGAGAAGTGAAATGGCTCACAGAGGAAATCAGACGGATTCAGAAAAATTTTCCTGTTCCGTTTGTCTGGATCTACTGAAGGACCCGGTGACTATTCCCTGTGGACACAGCTTCTGTATGAACTGCATTAAAGACCACTGGGATGGACAGGATCAGGTGAAAATCCCGAGCTGCCCTCAATGTAGGAAAGGTTTCATACCAAGACCTATCCTGGTGAAAAACATTGTGTATCAGAGTTGGCAGAGGATCTGAAGAAGACTGGACTTCACGCTGCTCCAGCTGATCACTGCTATGCTGGACCTGAAGATGTGGCCTGTGATGTCTGCACTGGGAAGAAATTTAAAGCTGTCAAGTCCTGCCTGGTCTGTATGATTTCTTATTGTGAGAATCATCTCAAATCTCACTATGATGTCCCTGGACTGAAGAAACACATGTTGGTGAATCCCTGCAAGAATCTTCATGAAAACTACTGCTCTCATCATGATGAGGTGATGAAGATCTTCTGTCGTACTGATCAGCGAGTATCTGTTATCTCTGCTTAATGAGAACATAAAGATCATGAAACAGTCCCAGCTGCAGCAGAAAGAGCTGAGAAGCAGAAGAAGCTCCAGGAGAGTCGACAACAAATCCATCAGAGAATCCAGGACCAAGAGAAAGATGTGAAGCTGCTTCAACAGGAGGTGGAGGCCATCAATGTCTCTGCTGATAAAGCAGTGGAGGACAGTGAGAAGATCTTCACTGAGCTGATCCGTCTCCTCCAGAAAAAAAGCTCTGATGTGAAGCAGCAGATCAGATCCCAGCAGGAAACTGAAGTGAGTCGAGTCAAAGATGTTCAGGAGAAGCTGCAGCAGGAGATCACTGAGCTGAAGAGGAAAGACGCTGAGCTGGAGCAGTTCTCACACACAGAGGATCACACCCAGTTTCTCCTCAACTACCCCTCACTGCCAGCACTCAGTGAGTCTACAGGATCATCCAGGATCATTGTTCGTCCTCTGAGACACTTTGAGGACGTGACAGCAGCTGTGTCAGAGCTCAGAGACATCGTACAGGACGTCCTGAGAGAACCATCCAAAAAGATGTCACTGAAAATAAAAGATAAGAATGTTTTAGTACCAGAACCAAAGAGCAGATCTGGATTCTTAAAATATTCAAGAGAAGTCACTCTGGATCCTAACACAGCACACAGTAGGTTGTTGTTATCTGATGGGAACAGAAAAGTAACTAGAATGGAACAACAAGAGTCGTATCCTGATCATCCAGACAGATTCACTTATTATGCTCAGGTCCTGAGTAGAGAGAGTCTGACTGGACGTTGTTACTGGGAGGTGGAGTGGAGCGGAAAGCAACAGTTCACATAGCAGTTTCATACAAGAACATCATCAAAGCAGAAAGATCAAATGAATGTTCATTTGGACTTGATGACAAATCTTGGGCATTATCTTGTGACAAAAACAGTTACACATTTTATCACGACAACGTTGCAACTCCGGTTCCAGGTCCAGTTTCCTCCAGACTAGGAGTGTATCTGGACCACAGAGCAGGTATTCTGTGTTTCTACAGAGTCTCTGAAACCATGACTCTGATCCACAGAGTCCAGACCAGATTCATTCAGCCGCTACATGCTGGAGTTTGGCTTTTAGATGATGGATGCTCTGTTGAGTTCAATAAACCTAAATAGTCAGCAGTGATCAAATGTCCCTGCATTTGATATACCTTTTAGTTTCAGATTCTTTAGTCTCAATCAATGCTGCTTAGAACTGCCATTTCAGACCGATGTTGTTCAGATGCATGTACAGGTGAGCTGATGGAAATTGTAATCATCATCATCATTATTCTATTGAACAAACATCACATTCTGGCTCAACTTGACTATTTTATTAACTTGACATTTGAGATGCTTTCAGCACCTCTTGACAGGAGGATTCTGCTCTACTTAATATTACTACAATAAAGTTAACATGTTTCATGTTTGTACAGGAAAAACATCAATCCAATTAGAAGAATATACAAAATGCATTTTTAAAATAATTATAACAATGAAGAGCAGTTGTTTTTAATCCTGAATAGTAATGGCTCTTGAAAACATTGAATAAATGCAGTGACTGGTAGAATAACACAATGTTATCTGACTTGAGATGTTAAACAGTGAAAAAAGACTTGAAAAATATGTTGTTTTAGTGGGATATGAAAATATAAGTTGACTTTTTTCAATCTGCTGGTCCCACTCCTTAAAACTGTGCATGATGTGATCACTTGGGATCCTTCTAACAGAGGATCTCAACCACACTTGAGGCCAACTCTGACCATCCCAATTTCAGTGCACATAATTGTTGGTGACCTTCTGTTAAACCCCTAAGAGGCCATCCCCAAAACTGACTGGGCCCAGGAGTTAATGACAAAGGAATGAGTGGACTTGTTTGATTGCACAATCCTGCTCCTTAAAGCTGTACCTGGTAAAATGGCATTGGACCCTCTCAAGTTCCACTTTCTCACTCCACAAACTTGATTCATCTCCCCTCACACTAGATGGCCTCCTTCACCAGTAAGCAGCTTATTCTCAATAGCCTCCTCCCAGCCACTGCTCACAAACCATGGAAGAAGAAGAATGTTTAATAATTCTTCATCATTTTATGTGCTTTTGCAAATAAACATTTTTTCCTTTAAAATGTCTCCCATATGATTCTGCATGGGAAAGAAAATCCTGAAGATATTTGCTGAGATTTGACTTGTGAGAGGTGGACAACACCTGGACACATAAAAATTAAAACATTTATTCAGGATTGTATATTTGTGTTTTATATGTCGTGTTGTTCAAGGTTTGTCAGAAAACCAGTAACATCACCACATCTGTCAAAATCTCTCAAAAATGATAAGTTCTGCCTTTGCTTATTTTCTCTTTACGTAACAGAAAGATGTTTAATAGAGTTCGAAGTCCTCATATGAATATGAATTCTGGATCGATTATTTACTTTCCCAAGTAAATAATTTACCAGCATATATTTAATGCACATGGATTATTCTACAAGAGTTGGTAAGTGTACTCACACAAATTGATATCATATGAATATAGAAATGAATGTAACACTGATTACGATCAACTGGAAGCAAAGTGGGAGTCTGAACTAAAAAGTTTAAAAATAGGAAGTGAAGAGAGAAATGCATCAGCAGTCTGAAGGATTTAGAGTGTTTGCAACAAATACTGTGAAGCTCCTCCCCTCTGTTGAACACAGAGTTCAGCTCAGCTGCTTCATTTCCTGCTTCGCTGTTTCACCCGTCTCAAAGCTTTAGTATCAGTGGAATCACTAAGCTGATGAGACAAACTGCTGCAGATGAGTAAGTAAAAAAACTGGTGTATAGCTTCTGTTTGTACATATTTACAGAAGGAAAAGACATTCAGTATCGTGAAGTGAAATGGCTCAAAGAGGAAATAAGATAGATTCAGGTAAATATTCTTGTTCCATCTGTTTGGACCTACTGAAGGACCCGGTGACTATTCCCTGTGGACACAGTTACTGTATGAATTGTATTAAACTCTACTGGTATGAAGAAGATCAGAGGAAAATCTGCAGCTGCCCTCAGTGCAGGAAAGGTTTCATACCAAGACCGATCCTGGTGAAAATCATGTTAGCTGAGTTGGAGGATCTGAAGAAGACTGGACTCCACGCTGCTCCTGCTGATCACTGCTATGCTGGACCTGATGATGTGGCCTGTGATGTCTGCACTGGGAGGAAAATGAAAGCTGTCAAGTCCTGTTTATCCTGTCCAGCTTCTTACTGTAAGAATCATCTCCAACCTCACTATGATGTTCCTGGACTAAAGAAACACAAGCTGGTCAAACCCACCAACAAGCTCCAAGAGAACATCTGCTCTCGTCATGATGAGGTGATGAAGATCTTCTGTCGTACTGATCAGCAGATCTGTTATCTCTGCACTATGGAGGAACATAAAGGCCATGAAACAGTCCCAGCTGCAGCAGAAAGATGAGAAGCAGAAGAAGCTCCAGGAGAGTCGACAACAAATCCATCAGAGAATCCAGGACCAAGAGAAAGATGTGAAGCTGCTTCAACAGGAGGTGGAGGCCATCAATGTCTCTGCTGATAAAGCAGTGGAGGACAGTGAGAAGATCTTCACTGAGCTGATCCGTCTCCTCCAGGAAAGAAGCTCTGATGTGAAGCAGCAGATCAGATCCCAGCAGGAAACTGAAGTGAGTCGAGTCAAAGATGTTCAGGAGAAGCTGCAGCAGGAGATCACTGAGCTGAAGAGGAAAGACGCTGAGCTGGAGCAGCTCTCACACAGAGGATCACAACCAGTTTCTCCTCAACTACCCCTCACTGCCAGCACTCAGTGAGTCTACAGGATCATCCAGCATCAACATCCGTCCTCTGAGACACTTTGAGGACGTGACAGCAGCTGTGTCAGAGCTCAGAGACAAACTACAGGATGTCCTGAGAGACACAGGGACAAACATTCAACTGGCAATTACTGATGTGGATGTTACTGTCAAGACCAGAACCAAAGACCAGAGCTGAATTCTTGAAATATTCAACAGATATCACTCTAGATCCAAATACAGCTCACAGGAATCTGTTATTTTCTGAGGGGAACAGAAAAGTCACAGTAGTGGATGAAGAACAGTCTTATCCTGATCTTCCTGACAGATTTGATTGTTGGTATCAGGTCCTGAGCAGAAAAAGTCTTCCTGAACGTTGTTACTGGGAGGTGGAGATGAGAGAAGAAGTTTATGTAGCAGTTTCATACAAATATATGGGCAGAGGTGATTATTCAGATGTGTGTGTTTGGATATAATAACATGTCTTGGGCATTCTATTGTGACAAAAACAGATTTGATTTTCTTCACAACTATGTTTATACTCCAGTACCAGATCCAGTTTCCTCCAGATTAGGAGTGTATCTGGACCACAGAGCAGGTATTCTGTGTTTCTACAGCGTCTCTGAAACCATGACTCTCCTGCACAGAGTCCAGACCAGATTCACTCAGCCGCTATATGCTGGAGTTGGATTTGTCCAGATGACCATCATGCCGGACCCTATGCTGAGTTGATTAAGCTGAAATAGTCATCAGTGATCTGAGGTCCATTTGGTTAACATGTGCATTCTAGTTTAAGTCTCTTCCAGCTCCATCATTGTGGCTGAGAGTTCATTGTTATTTCTTCACTGCTCAGAAATAAAGCTACTTTGTCATCTTGTATGCTGATCATTTGTGTCTTCCTGTTTCTGGTCCGCCACGGAGACTACCAGGAGGATTTTGATTCACATTTATTGTTTCTCTGACAAAATGTCAGTGAAATTGAGATGAGCTGAAGGAAAATGTGGTTATCTACAGATTAAATGATGATTATTGATCAGGACATCAGTCATTGTTTGTTGGACAGAGCTAATTAACTTAGAATGTGGTCGGACCTCTTGTCGGAAGAATTTATGCTGCTAATAAAGCTAAAATGTTTCACTTCATATGAAACAATCATGAGAAAAACTGTAATCTCCTGGATTTTATTAAAGCCTGACATGCTGCCAGAAATAAAAGGTTTACCAAAACATGTGATATTAAAAAAAAAATCAAACTTAATGAACATAAGTCCAGGTCATCAATTGTGTTTAATTCTGGACAGTACTGACTCTGGGAAATAGAGAACACATTTACATTGTTTTAAATTTGTAACAAGGTTAATAATACAACTTTAGTTTTGAATTTGTTTCATTTTTCATTAAAGACTATTTAAAACCATTTTTAAGTAATAATTTTGTGAACTGTTCAGACTGTAGATACGGTTTCCAAATTAATTATAAAAACTAAGAAAAAGCTATTAGTGGGATAAATATGTACTTTTGGCTTCATTATCTATAGTTTGGATGCTTTCTAACAGTTTGATTTTTTTTCATGTCTGCAGATGACTTTTTGTGAACTGATTTTGTTTTTGATAAAAAAAAATCACTATTGTAATAGGTTTGATTTTATTGTTTTTTTTTGATTAGACACAATCAAAACAATTGTTTCAAAATTATTTCATCTTTGTGATTCATGTTCACTGTATTATTCTAGTGCTGCTTAGAATTTGAGCAAATCATGTTTAAGTATCTATTATCAAATTATTATCAATTATTATCAAATTTACATCCAGTATTTGGAAACAATAAAAGCTCTTTTAGCTTTTACGATCATTTTTTTTCTTTCCATGTCTGATAATACATTGATGGTTTGGGTTTTAAACTGTTAAAAAAGATTAAACTAAATCCAAAGGAAACAAAATCATTTCTGTTCATATTTTCTGGTTGGGTTTATGAACCTGTTTTACTAGAATGAGTCACTGGAACCAGTGGATTATCTCTGTTTGTTAGGAAGCTGCTTGTTGGGATGACAACTCTGGCTCAAACTGAACCGCCGGTGTTTACAAATTCAGTTTTCAAAGTGCTCCAATAGGTCAGTTATGGCGTTAGATAACCCCATAAGAGACCTCGGTTCACTTATGAAGTTATGGTGTAAAACTTTAGGGTGCTTTTCCTTCTGCTCCCAGAGGTGCCAGAGAAACCAAAATTACAGGACGTGAAGCCGGGGCAGCCTACTACCTGCATGAAAAAACCAAAGATTTAAATGATTAGAACACCTGTAAACACTGTCTCATATTCAGGGAAGAAAGATCCAGTATAACCAGTTCAACCACTCAAACATAGAGGCAGGTTCAAACAGCACATTTCCTGGTTCTTCCCCTTAAACAATCTGAAAGACAAAGGATCAGAACATTCAGCGTCAGGAAAAGTTTCAGGAGCACAGCAATTAGAAAAGACGAGGTTTTGGCTTTTTCTGTCGAAGTTTAATTTGATTTAAAAGATCCCAGTGTTACTCAGAACTGAAATGGAGGAGCCAGGAAATCAGATGGATTCCATAACATTCTCTTGTTCCATCTGTTTGGATTTACTGAAGGATCCGGTGACTATTCCATGTGGACACAGCTACTGTATGAACTGTATTAAGGACTTCTGGGATGGAGAAGATCAGAGGGGAATTCACAGCTGCCCACAGTGCAGACAGAAATCCAAACTGAGGCCTGTCTTGGTGAAAAATGTGCTGATGCAGATTTGGTGGAGGATCTGAAGAGAACTGGACTCCAAGCTGCTCCAGCTGATCACTGCTATGCTGGACCTGAAGATGTGGCCTGTGATGTCTGCACTGGGAGGAAGAGGAAAGCTGTCAAGTCCTGCTTGGTCTGTTTGGCTTCTTATTGTGCGACTCATATTAAACATCACTATGAGGTGCCTGCACTGAAAAAACACCAACTTTTCAACCCCTCCAAGAAACTCCATGAGAGCCTCAGTTCTCTTCATGATGAGATGATGAAGATCTTAATGAATGAATTTGAAACGGTCTCGGCTGCCGCAGAAATGACTGAGAAGCAGAAGAAGCTCCAGGAGAGTCGACAACAAATCCATCAGAGAATCCAGGACCAAGAGAAAGATGTGAAGCTGCTTCAACAGGAGGTGGAGGCCATCAATGTCTCTGCTGATAAAGCAGTGGAGGACAGTGAGAAGATCTTCACTGAGCTGATCCGTCTCCTCCAGGAAAGAAGCTCTGATGTGAAGCAGCAGATCAGATCCCAGCAGGAAACTGAAGTGAGTCGAGTCAAAGATGTTCAGGAGAAGCTGCAGCAGGAGATCACTGAGCTGAAGAGGAAAGACGCTGAGCTGGAGCAGCTCTCACACACAGAGGATCACACCCAGTTTCTCCTCAACTACCCCTCACTGCCAGCACTCAGTGAGTCTACAGGATCATCCAGCATCAAGATCCGTCCTCTGAGACACTTTGAGGACGTGACAGCAGCTGTATCAGAGCTCAGAGACAAATTACAGGACATCCTGAGAGACACAGGGACAAACATTCAACTGGCAATAAGTGATGTTGATGTTCTGCTGTCAGAACCAAAACCGAAGACCAGAGCTGAATTCTTGAAATATTCAACAGAAATTACTCTGGATCCAAACACAGCTCATACACAGCTGTTATTAACTGAGAGGAACAAAAAAGTAACAATAATGAAACAACAACAATCTTTTTCTGATCATCCAGACAGATTTACATTTTATGATCAAGTTCTGGGCGTCCAGAGTCTGACTGGACGTTGTTACTGGGAGGTGGAGTGGAGAGCTGAAGCAATCCATGTTGCTGTTTCCTACAAAGACATCAGCAGAGATGGGACTGCAGATGAATGTGTGTTTGGATTCAATGACAAATCTTGGGTGTTAAGTTGTTATGCAAAGGGTTATACATCTTTACACAACAGAGTTAAGACTCCAGTACCAGGTCCAGTTTCCTCCAGAATAGGAGTGTACCTGGATCACAGAGCAGGTATTCTGTGTTTCTACAGCGTCTCTGAATCCATGACTCTCCTCCACAGAGTCCAGACCAGATTCACTCAGCCGCTACATGCTGGGATCCGACTTTTTGATCTGGGAGACTCTGCAGAGTTCAATATAACTGAGTAGAACAGCAAAGAATCGCAACAAAATACTTAGCTATGACAGGTCAGAATGAAAAATACCTTTCATTTTCAGTGATTTTCAAACAATAGAAAAAGAAAAACTTAACAGTATTTCTGCTTTGAAATATTCACATTGAAAACAAAAATCAATGAAGAAAATGTTTTAATCTGCAATCATAAGTTAATGTAGATTTTGAAAAGTGTGTAAAAATGAATTGTTCTTAAATAGGCTACATGATAGGTTATATGAAATAATGTTTTACTAAAATTTAATTTAACAGGTTAGAATTTATGATTTATATTTTCATGTCAAATATTTTTTCTTATTTCCTCCAATGTGCAAGAGAGAAGCACACAAATGATATGAAGACATTTTTCATTTTAGTAAGTTTATACTTTAAATATTTTTTCTTGTTGATTTATATTTTCTGACTGTATGCTAATAAAAGTCTCCACAGAAAGAAATGAGTCTCCATCTTGTTTAAAAGGCAT